GGGGCCCGGGCGGCTGGCCACAGCCTGCGTGCACAAAGACGGGTCCACATATCGCTCCCGGCCCGCTGATGGCAACATGGATGGGATCGGGAGACAGCCCGCACAGGTACTAAAAAGATGTGAGCAGATTGAAAGAAGATATAGAAAGATGCAAGATGAAATAGAGAGACTCATGGGAATAGAAATAGAATAAGATGAGACTTGTAAGTCTCAAAGGGGGGAAATGTGGAAGCAAAGGATGGCTAAGGCCTCAAGGGGGAAGAGAGAAATTCCTTAGATAAGAGGAAGATGACCATTAAACTGTCTTGAAAGACACAAGACAGATAGCCCCAAGGCGGGAAAAGCTAGTTTAGGCAACCCTTTGTCTTGAATCTATAAAAGGTTAATTGCCCTGGATGTGAATTAGAGAGGCCATAGCAGAAATCTTCCTGTAAGGGTCTCTCTCCAATAGCTATCGAAATAAAGTTTCTACCTGACCTGATTCCAAATTCTACAGCGTGTTTTTTCCACGACATGAGGTTCAAGGAAGATCCAAGATCAGGATCAGGGAAAGCCAAAGCTAAGTCAGAAGCCAGGAGAACCACAGAGAAGTGAATACAAAGCTTTCCAGAACAGTCTGAGGTGATGGGAAGGCATGGCTGACGCTGCACATGGCCACCAGGCAGCCTGGAGAGCAGCTTCCACAGGTATGGGGGAGGGCGGGGGGTAGGGGGCAGGCCTGAGGCTTTCATGGAGGGGAGAGAACTAGCCAGGAGCAGGGGCAGGGGTTGGGGCAGGGGCTGGAGTTGCTGCCCAGCTGCAGGGTGGTGCATGGGGTCCAGAGCCATATGCGCGGACACAGGGCCCTGGCAGGGAGTGGGACAAGGCCATGGGCAGCTCATCTGGGGGGTAGGGGAGAGGGTGCAGCCATCTCCCTGCTGCTGCACACACTCCTGGGAGACCCATACCCCCCAGATCTGTAAGTGGGGAGGGGGCAGGGCAGGCTGCCTATTGTGGGCTCCAGCGAGGATAGGGGCAGAGAAGCTGCTCCCCACCACTTCATGCACTCCCAGGGGGCAGGGGGACCTGTGCCCCCCATATCTGTGTGTGGGACATGGGTGCAGGCTGCTTGCTCCCGCCCTGCTGCTCTGCCCCGGGGCCTCCACAGACCAGCATGTGCCACCCGGCGCTGCAAAGAACAACCACACGCTGTCACCCCTCACTGTAGCCCCATGCACAGGGGATGCATCACCATGGCAGCACAGAGCTCACAGAGGCAAGCAGCCTTCCTGCATGGCCCCGCTGTTCTTTGCAGTGCTGGGTCACACTGGGCTGCAGAGGCCCTGGGGGAGGGCAGCAGGGCAGGAGCCCAAGCCCACAATGGGCAGCCCGTGCCTATGCCCCACACATAGATCTGGGGGGGCATGGGTTCTCCTGGGAGTACACGCCATGGTGGGGAGCTGGCTTCCCCTGCCTGAGCCAGCAGCAGGCAGGGGTGAGGGGGTGCGGGGAGCCAGGCTCCACTTTGCTACAGCAGCCTCCACCTCCTGCCAGAGGCAGGGGGCTGCAGAGCCAGGTCCCTGGCCCCATAGCCTTGGCAGCTGTGGGCCCCCTCCAGCAGGGCTGAGGGAACAGGAGCTGTCAGTGGGGGGTGAGAAGCACCAACAGGGCTGGGGGGCTGCAGGGGAAAGTGAGGGGCAGGAGCAGGGCCAGAGGGCTGTGGGGCAGGGAGTGAGGGGCACCAGCAGGGCTATTTTTTATCAAGGAAAACCAGGATCCCTGGTGATGATTCACATGCCTGGCCTAGCTGGGTTTGCCTGATCAGCGGCCCTGATATTTACTCTGTAAATCTTTGTTCATGCTCGTCTTCTCCACATTTCATCCGAGTACTCCCCCCCTGTTTCTTATTCCTGTTGTTTCTTATCCCAACCTTTTTAATGTTACATGCCAACAGTTTGATGCCATTTTGGTTCAGATAAAGACCACCTCCTGTATAGGCTCCTTCTGTTCCAATAGGTCCCCAAGTTCCTAATAAACCTAGACTCTTTCTCCCTATACCATCATCTCAGCCATGCATTGAGACTTTGGAGCTCTGCCTGTCTGCCTGGCCCTGTATGTGGTACTAGAAGCATTTCTGGGAGTGGTACCATGGAAGCCCCAGACCTCAACCTCTTCCCTAGAAGCCTAAATTTAGCTTCCAGGACCTCTCTGCTGCATTCCCCCATGTTCTGGTTACCCACATGGACCACAACCACCAGCTCCCCCCCGGCCCCTGCCCAGCATGGACCTACACATCTCATGTGGTCTGTTACCTTTGCGCCTGGCAGACAAAGTCACCATGAAGT